GTAAATTATTATAAGAGAGCAACCATAATAACTAAAGAAAATTACTACATGTATAATTTAACTATAATACAAAGAAATCCCAATGTTCCCGCGTAAGTCCAATTGAATGGATCCCGCGATAATATCTGAAAATATTCTTCGAGATCTATTCCAATATTTTTCAATAGGTCCGTTATCATTATTCCGATATTTTTTCTTTCAGTTCTTATCACCGAAGTCTCAATCTTTTCTTGCAACTTTTTCAGTATTGGTTCTAGTCCGTCATTGCTTGCATTAATTAATGGTTTTGGTCCGTTTGCTACGAGTTCGCGGAGATTACAGAGATGATAGTTTTGTAGATATTTGATTTCCTCGGAATCTAGTGAACTAGGAGAAGGCGTTCGAGTATCATTCTCGGATACGCTACTCAAAAAGACGAAAATATCTGATGATTCTTCTGAATCACTATTAAGCTTTTGAGATTCATGTTGATTACTTTCTTCAATTTGACGTTGCTGTTGTGACGATGATGATGCAGATGATGATGATGATGATGATGCTATTACGGAACCCGATTCGAAGTTATTTTCCATATTAATTTTTTACTGGATATATTTACTGTGTGATATGTGGTTCAGTTTTTTGTTTATTACTTGTTTGCGAAAACAAAAAAATAATTACGTGTGTATTTTGATGGTTTTTTTAATTAAAAAAAAAGGCACATACTTATCATTATTGCGACACAAAGTCCGAACAATACTTATATGTTGTAGGTTTTTTTATGAGAACGATAAAATAAACCATGTGAATAATAATAAACTACCAAAAGTAGATTGCTTGTGTCACCTTTTAAGTCATATATTTATACGGAATGAACAACTCGATTTGGTATTTCTTTTTCGTTTAACGACATTATTTTGACGAATGCAAGAATTTGGATTATTTTTCTTATTGCGATAATGAATAAAATAATTTTTATTATTAGACTTTTTATTATTTATTAACTCACTCTTAACTTTCACTCATTCTCTCACTCACCCACTTACACACACTCATTCACTCATTCATTCACACTCACAACCATTCAACCACTCACACCCACCCGCACCCTCATTAACTCATTCACACACATTCTCTCGCAAAAATGATACAAATACGCATGGGTAAAACGGACGCAAATGTTCGGACAATTAAAGAATTGACAAAAATCTGTATCAAATCAGCGAACAAAGGAGAACGAGGCACAAAACTAGTGCTGACAATAAAAAAATATCTAAACAACCGCAAATTAGATCCCACCAAAATATTTAAATTACTCGCAGAAACAACGCCAATCCAACGAGAGACCAACCCTTGCAACAACAAGAAAGTACAAGAATCACTTCAACAAATGTGCTTACTCGGTTGTTTCTACGAACACGGCATCGGAACACCACCGAACCCCAGCATGGCATTCAGAGCATACAAGACAGCCGCGGACAGAAACGACCCGTTTGCACAAGCATCATTGGGAAACTGTTATTTGGACGGTACCGGGGTGGAGATAAATGAACATGCTGCCTTTTTATTGTATAAAAAATCGTCAGAATTAGGAAACATTCGAGGGCATTGTAATTTGGGACATTGTTATCTGAACGGATTCGGAACCAATAAGGATATTAATGAGGCGGTAAAGCTGTTTAAGTTGGCTGCTTTGTCGGGAAATGCTGTGAGTCAGTATAATCTGGGATTGTGTTATGACTATGGTTGGGGCGTAGAAATTGATGCGAAAACAGCAATCCATTGGTATAAAATTTCTGCAAGAAATGGGTAAATATTATTTCTTTGTGCAATTCCTTTGAGAACCCATCTTAGCATTTTCATTGGCTAGAATTCGGGATCAATTACTATATATAGGCTATATTGGAAATTGATATGCATTAGCCAATGAAAAACAAAGATGCGTTTTCATAGCAAATTCGAAACAGAATTTGATATTACATAAAATTTAAAATTGAAAGATACACGGATGCACAAGTAACAGTCGGTGACTGCTATCTCGATGGTCGATGGATTGACAGAGATGAGAGGCGCGCTTTCAAATATTACAAAATGGCATCCGAGTGTTTAGACCCTGAAGTACAATACAAAATCGCCCGATTATATCGAAAAGGAATCGGAACGCCAGTCGATGAGAATCTCGCATTTCAATGGTACAAAAAATCGGCTGACAACGGATTTAACAAAGCGAAATGTAAGCTCGGCAAATGCTTTGAGAAAGGAATCGGTGTCTCGAAAAATACGCGAAAGGCTGTTTGGTGGTATAAAAAAGCGGCGATTGAGCAAACTTCGCAAAATTCGTCTGCTGGCGATTATTATCTTGGCTCTTGCTATCATGAGGGTATTGGTACTTTAAAAGATATTCATATGGCGTTGCGATGGTATCGTAAGGGTGTCAATAAAAATTGTAAACTTTCTGCGAATATTCTCTTGCAGATGTTGAATCACAATGATGGTAATTCTTAAAGTACCTATAGTTGTTATTTTATGTTGGCTTTCTTTGTATTATAGTTAAATTATACATGTAGTAATTTTCTTTAGTTATTATGGTTGCTCTCTTATAATAATTTAC